GCAGAGGGAGAAGCAGGCTCCATGCAGGGAGCCCGATGCGGGACTTGATTCGGGGACTGAGTGACCCTGGGCTGAATGAAGGCAGGCACTAAACCGTTGAGCCACCCAGGGATCCCTCGCTTTTAAGGATGTATACTCAACCTCAAGGGCAAAAAACACCTCAAGGATATAACAAAACCCACACATTTTTTTTGTAATGGTGAACAAATTTCACATTACCAATTGTGGGAGAAACTGGCCCCTACATCTCTTCTATGCAATGCACTGAGGAGTTTACATTACCTGTGCAGTGTCCCTGCTAAAAAAAAATGTTTAATCTGAATCTAATCATAAGGAAACAAATCGAAATTGAAGGACACATTGAAAACAACTGACCTAGATTCTTTGAAATTGTCAAAGTCATGAAAGACCACCATCAAAGCAAACAAACAACTAAACGAAAACACCAATAAAGAAAAACAAAAAAGAATAGGAAAAGCAAAAGGGGGACGGTGGCTAGGCTAGTGATTGTGTGACCCTTGGCTGGATCTGGATCCCCAAGCTAAAAGTCTGTAAAGGATATTATTGAGACATTTTTACAACTTTGATGGGAACACATGCTTGCTCTGAAGGGATAAGGTGCTAAAATATTCAGGGGAGAAGACTAAAAGACTTCTGCAACTTGCATTTGAACAGTTAAAAAAATGTGTATAGACAGTGTGCTAGCTGAATCTGATGGATATATGGATGTTCACTGTTCTAGTTTTGAGCTTTTCTGTAGGTTTTAAATTTTTCAAAACAAATAATTGACTGAAAACCTCAAGTGACAGTGAACCCATTTTATTCCCTTATGAAGCTCATGAGCCTCATGGAGAAGTTGGCTCCAACCTGTGGCACAGGGAACTGGCCTACTCTGAGGGTTCCCTTGCCAAAGATAGGTTCAGGGATGTGCTTGTTTCTGAATCTGGACAAATGAAATAGGAAAGAGGGTTTTGCTACAGGTTTTCCTTCCTTTTGTTGCTTCTGGGAGCAAGTCTCTTTCCCTCTGTTATGCTTGTACATGGGTATGAGGCCTGGGACTTTGCAACCATTTTACTGTCAAGCTGAGATAGAAGCCGCCAAAAGGAACAGGGATGACAAAAGTTTCAGGGATAAATCAATTCTGAAAAGATTATGGTAGCTTTGGTCTTCCAATTATGGGAATCATTTGATTTAAGCCAGTTGAAATATTACAGCCAAATACATCATCTGCTACGAGCCACATCCCTCATGAAATGACCTTCTTATCTCTATTTCAAACTGTAACTGACAGCAGAGTTTTCAGGAGGAAGGGACTACTTTTATTTAGCAAAATATTTGGATTGGTCCTATAGGAGGAAAGGTAAGACCCTTAGGTCAGGGAGATGAGAACTAGCCTGAGTAATAAAGTAGAAGGAGGCATCAGTCAGGGTTCTCTTGAGAAACAGAAGCAGCAGGGTGTGGTGTGTGTGTGTGTGTGTGTGTGTGTGTGTGTGTGTGTATCTATATCTCTATCTCTGTCCCTTATATCTCTATGTATAGACAGATTTACTTTAGGGAATTGGTTCACACAATTGCAGAGGTGTGGTAAGTCCTAAAATATGATGGGGTGGACTGGTAGGCTAGAGACTCAGTGGCTCAGGGAAGGGTTGCAGTTCAAATCCAAAGGTGTCTACTGGCTGAATTCCTAGTTTCTTAGGAGGCAGTCAGTCTTTGTTCTATTAAGCCCTTCATCTGATTGAAAGAGACCCATCTACATTATGGAGAGTGTTCTCCTTTGCTTGAAGTCCACTATTTAAATGTTAAATTTATCCAAAAAAAAAAAAAAAAACCTTCACAGAAACAACCCAAAAATGTTTGACCAAATATCTGAGCACCGTAGCCCAAACTGACATATGAATTTAAGCATAACAATGAATAAACTGGTCAGTGTGAGAAACAAATACACTGGGATTTGCCCTGGGAGATGTTGGGAAGGACAAAAGGAGAGAGAGAGACCAGTCAGAGACTTTCAAACTTAACTTTTTACATTGGACCACCTCATATGCATGCCAGTGTGTACATAACTGAAACAAAAGCTACTCTTTATCTTCTTTGCTCTTTCTTCCCTTCCCTTCCTGTCCCGTCCCTTCTGTCCCTTCCCTATCCTTCTCTCCCCTTCCTTCCCTTCTCTATTCTTCTCTCCTCTTCCCTCCCCTTCTCTATCCTCCCCTCTCCTCCCCTTCCCTTGTATTTGTGTATGTGCGCACTTGTGTAGTAAAGCTAGGAAGAGACTGACAGGACAGAAAACACATCAGACCTTAAAATGATCACCTAAGCCAAGAGACTAAGTTGATTGTGATAATGCAAGCAGCCATGCTTCCTTTCCTTCCAGGGCTGCATATACCCATAAAGTTCACAGAAATCTTGGGGAGGGCTTTCATATGGAATTAGGGATCAGAGCATCCGCATGCAATATAGATCTCAGGGGACATGGAGGCCCAGCTGGTTACCTGTGTTACAGAAGCCATCCTGTCTACCTTTAGACCTTCATGACACGGTAGCTAGTCCCGTGGTGCTAATCCATTTATATTTTCTACTATAGAAATTGTGTATTTATCTACCCTAGTAGGATGTAACCAAAGTAGGTTTGTGACCAAAAGTATGGTTTGAGATTATGTCTCAGGTACAATTTTTATGTTTTACATTAATTAGTATAATACCTACATAGACTAATAACTCGAATATGTGCTTTTCCTGATTTTATGGATGTAGAAATCGTTACTAGGAAACACAGTAACATTGATGTGTCATGTACGAGTGGCTGAATAAACTTCATGAAATTTCCCAACTATTCCCCCATATTTTAGGTATATTGAATATAACTTAAATGTTCACTTACGATACAGAATATTGTTATATATACTACAAAATAATCAACAATCAATGTCTAAGTGACTGTGGATTCGTGCTGAACATATTACAAATCAATGACTCCAAGTCATCAATGAAAGGTGAAGTAGGGTCCAGAAACCCTAGATTAGCAACAGAATGTAGTAGCCACACCAATGTCAGCTTAAAGGGCCCTGAGGATGATCGGTGATGTTCATCCTCATGACTGCATCTACCTTTCGACCTGATCTATGATCAAGCTTAAGAGTTCAGAGGAGTCTGGGCCTGTGGCAAGGCTGCTATTGAGATGCTAGAACTGACCTGAATCTTTGGTACAGTGTGAAAGTTCCAAGGGACGTGGATATTATGGTAGCTCATGGCACAGACTTGCAGAGCCTTGCAGTCCTCTCCAGGGTAATGGATTACAATATATCCACATAAACTGTAGCTATAAAAAAAGGGTGCATCACGATGGCTATCCATGTGTTTAAGCAATTCTAGGACATTCCTGAGTGAACCTGTTTTTAGCATACCTGCTCAAGTCTAATGATGCTGATGTCATTGTGCACTCGTAAAACAGTTTCTCTCTGTCTCTGTCTCTCTCTCACACACACACTTGTGAATCTAACACAGTGAAACTGTAAAAGAAAAAGATTGTGTAAAAGTTGTTCCTGTACAAGGAAAATGTAATTTTATTTCAGAAATAATCACTCAAGTGTATGAGCTGTGTAGGCGTTCATTGGTGAATTTAGACTAAACAGGAAGTGATGTAAATTATACTTATTACACTGCTGGGAGAGAAATATATTAAATCCAGACAGCACTCAGAAAAAGTACAAGGAACTCATTGTGTTGAAGGAAACGTGCAACTTTGGTGGGAAGACAATGCACTATATGGTATGAAAACCATCAGTGGCCATCTGGGACTAAAAAAATTTTTAGGGAGCATGACTTTGTTCTAGCACTGATGCATTTCTTTCTTCTTTGATAAAGCCCCAAGGTATTCTAATCCCAAGTACAATGCCATTTCAGTACTTTTAACCATTTCATGCTATTGTTTTATAGTTGCTACTATATTGGAGAGAGTAAGAAACAATGAAACTGTTAATATATGGACTAGAAATCTTAGCTGTGATGAAACAACCAGAGTAAAGAGATTGAGGAAATTACAGAATTATCTAGCACCTATATAATTCCACCTATTGCTGAAGTCTCCAGGAATCACTCAGAAGAAGAAATATTAACAAGTAAATTACCTTGAGAATAAAATAGTATCATGTGATCTATTCCATGACATTTGTCTCATTGGTCTATCCTTATGATAAAGTTTCCTGGGATGAACTGAAAAACAAACAAAACACATAACTGGGGAGCTGGTTTGGCTGTTTGCATGGCCTAAAGAGGACTCTCAGAAAATCAGGCCAAAGACAAATTTAATGTTCAACTTACCATTTTGGTACAAAGTCATACCCAAAATGAAGCAATGGAATGAATTAGGTTCAGCCTTACAAGTGGCTACCCTGCTCCACCACAGTGTAGAACAAGACTGACCTCTCTAATTTATTGGCCTCTGCCTTAATGGAGTATTTCTAGCATGGTGTAACTAAGATATTCACAAATAATTTAGTAAAAATGTACTGATCACCTATCCTCTATTACCCTTCTATATAATTGTTAGTAGTATTTACTACCATTCTCATTGTAGAATGGATTTTTCTGGTAGATCTTCAATTGAAGGATATTATGCAGGATACTTTGATTCTTCAAGTACTTATTTTAGCAATTAATTATTCAAAAGATACTCTACTCATTAATGGTCTTATTTTCAAAGCTTCATAATCCAGTTTTCTTAAAAATGTACAGAAATAAACTAGCTTTGGCATGTGCTGGAAGATACATGAGATATGAAAAAAATAATTCATTCAATTAGAGATTCCATTTTCGGCTCTGAAAGATGTATCTTTTTCATATAACTTCAAATATCTGGACCACTTTTTAGTTTTACATTCAGTAAAATATTAAGTTAGGAATACTTCTTCAGGGGCTCGTTATGAAATAGAAGTCCCGCTCATTTTTGAGTATGCAGTATATCTCGTTCTGTGTTTCAAATCACTATACACAAGTGGTAAAACTTTTCATAACAAAGGTTTAATTAGAATGGTTAATAACTATGATTTCCAAAGTGTCTGTGTCAGCCTTAGTAATAATTAGGGAGTTTTGTTCCATACAAAATGCTTTATTTAACCTTCATGCCTTCATTCAGATAATTATACAAATGCATACAGTTAAAGGTTTAAACTCTATTTCGGTTCACAGCTCAATTCATAGGAAAGTTGAATACAGAAAAGCAATGCACCAACAGAATATGTCTGAGACACCATTAAAAACGATAACACTTGTTCATTTAAATCTCTGAGAATAGACTGGAATAATCATCCTCTGAGAGAATCTCATTAGGAGGGTCTCCCTTTACATTATCATAGGGCAAAAAAAAAATCACCATTTTACAGTAAAAGGAAAAAGCTCTGAGTATATTTACAATACATACACTATACATAAATACAAGAACAACACTTACATAATATTAATAAACTTATAACAGGGGTTGCCTAAACACTACAGAGTATATAAATGCAGAGGAAACTATTGGGAAATTAGATCTTTAGATAAGCTGGAGAAATAAATTCATTTGCAATTAAAACTCTGAACAGAAAACCAAATGAAGATTTAAGAAATTAACACATTTGCTTGCCAGCATCATTGGGGGGTTTTGTCCTTTAATGCATAGGACCTCCTGTGGGCATTCTGACTCTCTGGGGTCAGAGACCCAAGAGTCTTTTGTAAAATTACATCTGTTAAGTGAATCAGACGCAGCACATCTATTCAATTTGCTGTTCAGAGGCTTCGAGCCTAGAATAACTGTTTTGTAAACTAAAGGACGTTTTTGTATTTTTACACAGATGGATCGTGTGATCCAGTCATCATGTATAATGAGCTAAGTGTCAAGGAAAAGGAAAAAGATGCCTGCTTGACTTGGCCAAAGATGATATTTTTCTTTATTCCCATATATTTTTTTCAAATACTAGTGAGAGATTTATTCAGAAGAACATGACGTTTGAACTGACCCCCACACACCAAGAGCAACGTCTAGACTACTACTAATTATAACTAAGTCATTTTAAGTGGCAGGTGGGTATCTTAAAGGTGGTCTGTTCTCATCGTTTCACAACACAGAAAGTTCTGAGTACATTCTTCAATGGACAAACATGAATTTGCTGGTTTCTCTTTTTTAAAATGAGCATGTTATGATACACATAATTGCATTATGATGCAGGATGACATAATACATAAGACGATGTTTTCAAGCTGGTTTTGTAAGTAGTTATCTCACATCCACAGAGAGTTGGTTTGCCATGTGATGCAACATGTCCCACATAGACATGGAGGAAACAATACAGCCACCATTCCGTGGGGGGGGGAGGGGAGGAGGATGGTGATTTCTCAAAAATGAATTTTTAAACACAACAAATTGCGGACAGACAAGTTGATAGGAAAGAGCCTTGAATATAGGCACCAGTGCCCCAGTTCAACAATACCCATCCAACGTAATGACGTCTGAGGAACAAAATGTGTACTGTAGTCTGGATGTAATTACAAAATTCTGCTATGGGAAAACTAGAAACACAAGTAGGGCAAAAGCATTTTTCTATAATGTTTTATGCTGTATCTTTGGAGCATGAAATTAGCAAAGGGAAGATGCCAGTACGTCCCTGAAATGTCTTACTTTTTGATTACTAGAGCACTTTTCCTAGAATTTGACCCAAATTCTACCTTCCTCTTCACCCTCATTTCTCATCAAAAATGAATCTCTGTGAAAGTCTTGCTACGCCTGTTTTGGAAAAAGCAAGATATAATTCACACAGAGTCATTGGTTTTTGCTTTGCACAAAGGGCGGACTCCAGTGTCTCAAACATTTAAAATTTCTAGAGATGAAACCCAGAAAGGAAAAAAAAAAAGTACTGATGTGACTATTGTCACTACTCATCTCTTTTCAACTCACTTAGAGTTGTGGTTTTGTTGTTGAGAAATTGTTGCTGTGAAACCCAATTAACGGAGAAGAGAGCCCCTTCCCACAGTGGCTTGTGCATACGGTACATTCGCTCTCAGCACAGAAGGGAATTGGTTTATACAGGTTTTGTCTCTTCCCTCGGCCAAGTAACAGGGAGAAAGATCATAATTCAGGAGATTCATTTTCAGAAAAAAGAAACACCATGAGAAATGACATTCTCTTAATGTTTTCTAAGCCCATTAGTATTTCCATGGATCAATACTGTCAGAAACTTTGTCCTACACAGAAAAGGGGTGGGCATTGATTCCTCTGACATCGGACAGCTTCTTACATAAATTCAATTAAACCAACAACAGTACTATAAACAGATTATTCATAAGAGTATTTAAAACATTCCAAGGTGGAACTGTCAGGTGAGAAGGAAAAGGGATTCTCCATTCTCTCTCCTTGCTTGTCATCTGAATGTTTGTGATCGCCACCCCCTTAACAGCTGCCGGGGGTGGGCTCTGTTATTAACAACTCATTCTATGGAGGTGCAAACTCCAAATGCAAATTGAGCAGATTCTAGAAGGTCTACAGGTGGAAAGGTTTTTATTATACCTACAAAGAAATACGTAGAATTGAGAAAACCCACTCTGGCTAAGATGCTTCTAGCCTTTAAAATGTTTTAATGATTTGGGATCTCCAGGCCAACCAGTTAGAAGGAAGTGACAAGTTCAGGGAGACTGGTCATTGCTGTGTATTTACAATGATCCTTCATGCATGACTTTCCAAGAAAAGACGGACTTCAAACCTTAGCTACCATTCTCATATCATATGCTGTCTCATACTTGGAAAATAGGGCTACCCAGCCATGAAACTACTTCAGAGTTAGAAAAACGACAACTTGGCTGCTGGGAAGACAAGTGCAGCGTGGTGCAGTGGGCAGAGTTCAGGCTTCAGAGCCAGAGATGTGTAGCTTCACATTCCCACACTGTCGTTCACTATTTCTGTGTCTGCAGACAACTCAGCCAACTCTCTGTGTCTCAGGTTCCCAACCATAAAATGCAGACCTGTTTACGGATTAGAGGCAACGTGTCTAAAAGGGGCCTAGTAGAATGCTTGGTGTAGAGTAAGAGTTTAAGAAAGAATAGCTATTGTTTTCATGGTTTGCTGAATTTTGGACCTTCTCATTTAGCACTTTCAGACACCTCACAGAAAATAGCCCAGCCAGAAGACTTGACTTTAGTGAGATTAAAGACCCCAGCTGCTTCCCTCGGACACTTCATTGGTTCTTTTGCATCCTCTCCTGGCACGTTTCCTTCTCTTTTCATTCTTTCTGAAACTTAGAGGAGGAAACAGTAGATGGTTTTCTAGGCCTGTGGTCTGGTTCTGGAGAAATACGTAGATCACTGTCCATTGTGGTAGCCTTCCCTGGCCAAAGCCTGAGTGTTTAATCACAGTTATACTTTTTAAAATTGCTCTTACCAAATGTTTGGCTCTGAAAGAGTATAATTTTACTGATAGCCCTCAATAGCTTGTTTGGGTGGATTTGTGCTCTGCGATGGTAAGGCTGGACAATTTCCAGGGCTCTTGCCTATTCATATAATCTCATTGTACATTTCTATTCATGACTCCACTTCTGGCAGTAAAATAATTACAGGAAAAAGTAGGGAAGTTCTGAATGTAAATCTGGTAACTTCCAGGACCAACTGCAAACCTTGGTTAAAGCAAGGCTTACTAAGGGTCAGCAGTCTTCAGCAGACTTCTTAGGGGAGAAATGATTGTGTGGATATTCATCCCAAAATGGTTCTTGTATGAGAACAGAAAATACTAAGGAAAAAGGAATGAAGAAATGTAACGAGGAACTTGTGCATTTGATATTAGTGGACACAACAAAGGAGAACAAACAAATCTCTCTAGTGTTTTGCTCTAAATAAATTGGCTTTTGTTGACTGAGCAAAACTTTTTGAGCCACACAAGGTGTTTTGCAAGTTTGGGGCTAATCGGTGAAGTTTTTATCTTAAAATTTTAATTGCCATATGCCAGAGTGTAAGTTGAAGAGAACTTAACGTTCAGATTTGTATTCTTACATTCTGTAAGTAAGATGAAATTAAGAAGTACTAACATAAACAAGATTAAGTATATTTAAGAATCACAAAAGAATTTTTGTGGCTGTGTGAAGATATTCAATTTACTATGTGCATATATTTATTCTGTGTGTGTGTTTCTCAAACGTGGAGAAAAAATCCAGTCTAATGAAGAATTATTGCTGTGTAAAAGTATAGGAATATCTCATTGGTCATAATGTCTATTGACAGGCACTTTCAGCTTTTAATTCATTTCTGAAAATGGGCATTAGCTTATTCCTATTGCCAGTATAGATTCATTTAACATGTGGCCATACCCATAGCACTTAATCTTGTCAACATGTAGCTACACTTAAAACTATTCGTTCCCTCTGGAATTAAACAAGAATAAACCCCTTACGGCTGTGTTTTTTTGTTTGTTTGTTTGTTTTTGTTCTCATCAAGAACTAGTTCACTGAGGAGGAAGATAATTGAGGAAAGAGAATTGTAGATGCTTCTCTTTAGCACAAGTAACATCCTATGCAGCTATCTCCCCCTTTTTCAGGCAAAGACATTTTGAATTTAGAATCAGTTGTTTGCAACTTAAAATGACTTCCCTGTGTTTTAAACCATCCTGGCTAAGTTGAGACAAGTGGCCACTCCATTTTGTCAGAACACAAGGTATGTGCTCTGCCAAAGTGGAACAGAATTCCCATGGCAATATTGCTAATTGTAAGATATACAAGGCATATCTGAACAAGTTTCTTTTTTTTTATTGTGATGAAAACTAGAAGCTCTTTTTTCCCCAACATACTTCATCAAACTATTTACAACCTCTGTAAAATTTGCGAGTTTGAAAATATTTTTCCACTATCACATATGTTTACGAATACAGCAAAATATTTTCACTCTATTTTTTTAAAGATGCAGTATCCTATTTCATTTTCTTATGAAAATCTGAATTTCTATTGCAACTGCACAGTATTCAGCATATTTAAAGTACCAATGGACATGGGTCGCTAAACAGATATTACTCTATAATGAAACTGCGAAAATATAGCATTTTTAAATTTTTATGTACACTTAACTATAAAATGCAAGCAAAGTCACATAGAGCATTATAAGCTGATTCCCTAATAAGGTAAATAACTTACATTTCTAGACAGCATGGATTATTACAAATTCATTTTTTAAAAAAAGTTCCTTGTCGGCATTTCCTAGCCTGCTGGCCGCTGCGTATGCAGGCGTGTATGTGCTGGGTGTGCCTGTACGGGGAAGTGGAAGGCAGTGTGGGGAGAAGTAGAAACGTACTGTGGAAGACATGACTTACCAAACCCCTTTTCTCAACAAAACCGAAATCAAATTGAGAAGATTTTTTTTTTTTTTTTTGCACGAGATGCACTACCTCAGACAAACTGAAGGAAGAAATTTAGTCAACGAAATTAGAGAATACATTTACCTCCTCAATTTACAGGTGTGAGTACAGAGCAAAATCTGAGACAGGACTATGGACTATGAGTATTAAGGCTTCCCGGGCCTGATTTGATCCATGAGAGTTCTCTCACGTTCATTCCCTCACATGTAGACTGACACTCAGCGTTTCGTGGGTGCTGGTATTCTTAACATCACTGTCAATCCTTGCTATAAATGTGGAAACATCTTTTATAACAGCATCATGGCTACATTTCTAAGCAGTCGTAACAACATAACAAAGGCGTATTAGTCTATCTGAAGGTCTCCCCTCACAGGACTTATTCCATTGCAGCTTTGGTAGGTATAATAAATGAAGTACAGAATAAGGAATACTGCATCTTTATCCATATACATGTTATCGTTCTAACGAACTGATTTCAAAGTGCAGAATGATATTTACGTTTAAAACACAAATGGCAAAATTTGAAGTTAAAAAAAGGGGGGGGATTGTATAAAAAGGAACACAATCCTTGTATAAGCTATTCCAAATTTTCAACCACAATGAGAATGGCCTTTCTAACCACCTAGAACTGGCATTTGTAAACACTGGAGCATTTTGTAAGGTCTTTCCCCCTCACCATCCTCTTCCTGGTTTCCACTTAAACTTTAGAGTGAATAAAAAGTGCTCTTTTTAAAAATGCGGGTTGTTCCTGTTACTCAACTGCTTTTGAAAACCAACGTCCTATAGTGTTTTGTCGAAGTAATGCCAGGCAGTAGTATGTTCTTTATGGGAAAGCCATTAGGAATTTTAGTCTCAATGTCTTAATAGAACTTAAGACAAGTTATCAAGCAGCCTTCTCAGAGTCCACACAGAATCGACAGGAGGGGGCTCGAGGTTGGATGGGGAAGTGGGAATCTGCTTCCTAACACCTTCAGGTCAGAATATAAGGAGGGAATCTATTAAAACTTCACAGTAACTTGTAACTCTTCAAATAACGTTAATTGCCCTGAATTCAATCTCTACAATGCAAAGAGATGGTCAGGTCTACCTTGGCTTCTCAAGCCATTACGGCTGCCCGTGCAGAAGTTCTCAAACATGCACGTACATCCCACTGCAAACTGAAGAGCTCCCAAGTTAAAACCAAAGAATGCTTCTAGTTAGGGGACGGCCAAGTCCTGTGGATTCTGTGCCTTTCCTGGTGTTCATCATCTACTACTGTGCTTTTTTGTAAAAGAGGCTAGAATGGACCCAGATGAAATGGAGGAGGCCTCTCCATGCCTGAAGATTCCTTCTCTCCTATTTAAAGACTTCATTCCTTCTCTCCCCAACTGCTTTCCTTTCTATGCGGCAACACGAGTAGAAAACTCACCAGGGAGAGTTTGCTATGGTCCAGGACGAGCCCCAGGTGAGATCAGCAACTCGCTCACTCACGGTTTGTGCTTGGATCCCTCTTTAGAAGTCTCGAGCATGTCAAGGGGTGGGGTGGAGAGGATATGGCGTAACCCTGACCGGTTTTAGCGGCTGACTTACCATCTCAGTCTGGTTTCCGCTCTCCGAGGGTGAGGAGAGAAAGCTCATTTCCCTGAGCCTTTCCTATGTGATCAGAGAGGAGCAGCCCATTTAGTTCTGTGCTAAATTTAAATCAAGCTGTCACTCGGGAAGCTCCCACTGCCTGTCAGTTCTATGAATTCCAAAAACTGTTTCTCCCTGTAACACGCTCAAGACCTCTCTGCACAGAGAAAAGACCAGCCCATCTTATGAGAGCAGGAAGCATGAAATCAGGTCTACCCTGTACCCGGGCGATTCACCTACTGACTGCCAACCAGGTTCCCAGGCCGCCAGGGAGGGAGGCATGGCCGTGTTGGCCACTCTCTGTGTTCTTTGCCACCGACCAGGAACCAACACTGGTATGTAGCAGGAAATCTCTTTCTATCCAGAATGGTCACAGGCAATGAGAAGTGGGAATTGTATACAGTACAGATAAAAGACTTTCCAGTTGGTTAAAAAAAAAAAAATCAAAAAACCAAAAAATAGTGCTTGGTGGGTCATAGATCATATAGCAAAAGAAGTTATTTCTCAATAGAATCAAAGCCCTTGTTTGAGAGAAACTGCCTGATGAGTTTTTCAGACCTGGCAGAAATTGCAGAGCGCATAGTTTTGAAGATAGAATTTGACCTGAAAATCATTATGCTGTTGCTTGAACATTTAAAACAATTCCTTTTGATAGCATCCCACACGAATTGTCCTTGTTTCAATGTTTAGAGTTCCTTGCTTCGTCAGAATAAGATTCTCTGAATTTGAAGAGGATCCTAAAAAAGGATAGTTCTGCAACCGGAAATTATTTCAGAATGTTCAAACACTTAAAAGTGAGCTAGGAATATTGTGAGGTTGATTTGTGCAATTCCCCAAATCAAGTGTTTGTAATTAAGATATATTGCAAAGGTCTATGCTGGCAACCTTGTATATCTAAGCTATAAAAAATCTTAACAACAACAACAACAACAACAACAACAAAAAATGTCACCAAGCCCCTTAGCCACAAAAAGCTGAAAAAAGAAAACAGCTTTTAGTGGGGAAAAAAAAAATACGGTATTTTTCTGAAAGAATGCTTGTTGGTGATGTATTGCTTTGTTTACTGTATACTCCGCTAGTTGCAAGAAAGGCTCATAATTTTAGGGGGTGGATGGGACTGTAATCTCCCCTCACCCTCAGCGCAGGATGAGTGAGCTCAACATCCCCGTAGATGCCGAACGCAGAGCCGCTGGGCTCTGACACGGTGTAGAAAATGAAATCTGTATAGAAGAACCTAATGGAGAGTCACTTAGCCTTGGCTCTCCAAGTGAGGAAATTAGCACCATGTTAGGCTTTCCTCGGGGAGCACTCTCTTTCCACTGACTCGGTTCCAAGGAGAACTGACCCATTAACCCAAGGGTTAATTCCCTGCTCTGCCTCCTTGGCCCTTCTGGTCACTAAATAACTGTTTTCAAACACGAAAAGGGGAGCATAATCTTTAATTGTGGTACTCAACCGAGCAGGACAACAAACAGCAGAAAGATGACCTCAGTGCCGTGAGTGTAACCAAGACCTCTAAAATGCTGGGGTGTTTTTTACAATCCCTTTAGTAAGTATGAAAATTGGTAACGTGAGTCCTCAGTGAAGTTATTGTAGGAAAGTCCTTTTATTCATTATTGCTTTTCTCCTCAAGAGGCGCGTTATTCCATCTCTGCTTTGTCTGATTTTTCATGTTCACTGACTTTGCCTGAGCAGCCCCACCTCTTACCTTGGTGCCAGTGTGTCTAAGAAAGTTTGTTTGTTTTTTTGTTTTGTTTTGTTTTTTCTTTCCCCTGATTCCTTGTAATCAAATACTAGGGGCAGGAAGAGATGATGCCTAGGTGACAGAGCACTGCGATTTGAAGTGGGGCAGTAGTTATTTTTTTATTTTTTATTTTTTTTAAGACAGGCTCTTCCTATTCAACTACAGAACACCTCTGTGCTCGTCCACGCCGGGGCAGACGCGGGGACTACACTCCACCTGCAAATGTCGCTGCCCCTCTGCTCGAACAGATGAACGAAACAGAATCAGAACAAAACAAAAACAATCAACGACAAACGAATGAAAGATTCAATGTTGGTTCTCTTCGGGGCATGGCATAATGACAAGTCGCGGGTGGTGCTACCTAGATGCCGTCACGCTAGTGCCAAGGGCTGCCTGAGTGCCCCCCTTTACTCTCGGGTCATGGAACTCTCCAACAGGCTTCTTCTTCTCTACTTTCATGCTGCTTGCTGGTAACAGATGGGATGTGTGTTCTATCTTACTGAGACAGTAACTAAAATTGCAGTAAAAAGAGGGTAAGGGGTGGGGACGATGGGAGAATCATCCAAATTTAAAAGGTCTCGCTCCAGCCATCAATTTGTGGCGGACGACCTTCAAGGTATCGATAACAAAGTGTCTGACAGCTCGGAAAAACGTACAAGCTACAAACATCTTGAAATGGCAGAGTACACAGCACGGGGACCCGAGCCTGTCTCTTCAGCGTTTGTGTCGCGGATCTCCCGGGCCAGCGTGAGGACGTTTCTCGTGTAGTCGTGACGGGGGTTACCTTCAGACCGGAAGGAGAGGTGTGACTGTGACTTCTTTTGTCCTGCTCTGCTTTCAGACATCGTGGGATGGTGATGCCCTTGTGTGTGGACACTGTGGAGGGGATTCAGCCCTGCTGAACGGGGTGCCCTAAGAGACCCAGCTCTCGTGCTCCGCTGGACGGGCAGCAGTCCTCACACCAGCATATGCCTCCGGCGGTGCAGTGCCAAGTGGTCTGACCGGGAAAAGCTGCGGTCACAGTCCGCGCACTTGAATGGCTTCACTCCCGTGTGTTTGCGGTAATGCCTCGTCAGTTCGTCCGAACGAGCGAACTTCCAGGTGCAGCCTTCCCAGGTGCACTTGTAGGGCTTCTCTCCTGGAAGACAAAGGGACACGCGCTTTGATGCTCCGCCACTTTCGCACAATCACCAAGGCAGCACTATGCTGGGGGGTTGGGGGGGTGGGGGCACCGGTGCTCCCACCGAGTGCTCCGCGTGGTCGTCTTTTGTCAGGAAACCTAGTCGGGTGGGGGCCTCCTGGGGGCTTTCGATCTCGGCTCTCCTGCTGTGACACCTGGCAAGTTAGGGAACACTCCACATCCTCACGGATGGGGGAAGTTACTTTTCGGCCAAAATGGCAAAAGGCACAGACTGATCACTACCGGATAGAGAATCCCAACCGGTTGGCCAGAAAGGCATTTTTACGTCTCTACCGAGGCCGATGGGGGCTCTAATGCTCCAATGCCAGAGACTCACAAAGAATTATAAAGGGTGATTAGTTATGTTTGGTTTCGCTACTCCTCCCCTAACGTGCATCGCTTAGACGGTTTAAGGCTGTTTCAGGACGCAGTGTCCATGTACCAGTCATTGGGAATATGCACGAAGTTTCATCAAAAGGTAGAGCACTCCGCCGCTCCCCAGAAATTAGGTATGAAATACAGGTCATTCATAAATAATCTACCTTCTGCTGGTCTATTGGAAAAGAATCCCAGATAGCTTCAGAGTGCAAAGTTTAAATAAATACTCTTTTCAGGGATTTAACTAGGGTGAGCCCTGAGGAATCATCAAGTTGGTTTTAGTGTTGAAACTCACAGTGAAAAGCAGTCTGAAGAAGTATGTAATTTGACCGGGTCCTTCAGTCAACTTGTAAGGACAGTAAAATATGCAAAGGCTTTGCTGGGAAAAGATACACTATCCATTGTCCAAATGAGCTCCCAGGGGGAGAGAGACAATGGTTGACCCAGGTGTGGGTTTTTTTTTTTCCTGGCTCTCATTCAGAATGGATGCCCTGTCCCCATGCAACCCCACAAAAAGTGATCTCTCCTTCTGTTCCTTCCATCCAATAGTCAACAACTGGCTTCCTGGCCACACACAGTCTTTGGTGAAAAGGCCCTAAGACAACGAAGGGAGCTTTTTGCAGATTCCTATGCATAGAGGGGCAGGGTGCGTACTGTTAACTCCACTTTACAGATGAGAAAACTGAGACTCAATGTAGTAAAGTAACTTGCCCAATGTCAGAAAAAAAGATTTATTTGGCTCCAAATCCAGTGCTTTTCACTATGCTACGGTGGAACGTATGATTCTTTTCCCATGTAAACTTTGTCACATCTTCAAAGTTGGTTCTACTTTCTCAGGTACGCCCAAATCACGCATTTCTTATTTCTATTATATCATCTATCGCAATATATCATGACAATTTTATTCAGATGCCTTTCTCCTCTACTCGTTTCTGAATTTGTGGAGGGCAAGGACTATGCCTCTACCGTTTCAGTATCCTTGGAGCCTAGAATAAGTATCAAACAAATGCTTGTATGAATCAGCAAAACTGCCACACACATACGCACAGAACCACTAAGCCGTGTGAGAGTACAAGTGATGCCTACATGGGAGAATTAGCCTGAACTGGACCCAACAATTTTCATTCAACTCTGAAATAAATGCTATCTATATGGGTCCTTTTGGGATCAAGTGACCCTTTCAGAAGTGAGTGAATAGCACAGACCAGTTAAATCTAGAAATGTTGATGTGCTCATTGTGGGCCACAGAAAGCTCCAGGTTACTCTGAAAGGGCTCCTTTCAAGTAGAAGCCTTCTGAGTAGATTAACCCAAAACCTCAACCTTTGACTCATTCCAGATATCCTACGGAGATGAAAATCTTCAATTGCAGGTATCTATTGACCCAAGTTGAACAGAAATTTAAAAAAACAAAACCCAGCTTAAAATGATGGAGTGTCTCCTACCTAGTATATCAGTGGCAACTGTTAACATGCCTTTATTTACATGTCCTCCCTATGTGTTTGTGAAATTTATGTCATGTGTAAAGATTCTAACAAGCTGAGCTTGATATAAATCATGTCTTCGAAAACTCATCCATCTTTGGGGCACTGAGCTCAGCAGGTAGACACTTAGCCACCAAGAGGCATCTCCTGGCTCTCTATGTCACTCTAGAACCAGCTACAGAGAGTGTAAGGCCTAGGAAGGAAAGAATACCAGGTTTTCTTAATTGAAGGATGGGTGTGGAGGTGTCAAATGTGTATGACTCTCCTTGCCATTCCAGACAGAGTGAGAGGAAGGGGACACATAGCTGGGATGAGCCTGGAAAGTAAGTAGAGGCCTGGGGGAGACAAGAGCTTCTAGTCTTATCTTGGGAAGGATGTTAAAGGTTTGAATGGCCCACCACTGGGACAGTTTATGGTTCTGGGTGCTCTCCGGATTTCCTTGTACACCCAGAGTAGGCACTTACTACTCTCTGATTTCTTCCTCACTATTACAATAATAGTCTTACTGTTACTTTCATTTTGGCTGTTTAATAATGGCATTTATGTCCATTCTACCTGAAAATCCATAGCACAGAGTGGCTCTTCTAGGCTAAAGCAAGTCTGTGGCCTGGTTTTTGTATAACCTTTGAACTTGGAGTGGTTTTTATACTTGGTATGTGGTTGAAAGACAATATCAAGAGGACAATTTCAAGGCATGTGAAAATTACACAAAATTCACATTTTAGTGCCCATAAATATGTTTTTGTTGGAACACAGATGTACATATTGTTTATGGCTGTCATACAGTGATGGCATAATTGAGCACCATAATAGGGAACGTATGGCTAGTGATGCCTAGAAATTTTCTATCTGGCTCTTTACAGAAAGTTTACCAACCCTTGATGTATGGGAGGCACCCGAGCTTTTTGCAGGCTTGCTGATTATGTTAACTTATTGAACTGGAGTCCATAATGCATGCTGTTAATTCGGGATGGGTGGGTGAGGGAATATTTTGGCTATAGAATAATAGCTTATTCTCTACTTAGGACCCGAACTAAAATTCTTTTTTTTTTTTTTTAAGATTTTTATTTATTTATTCATGAGAGACACACACACACAGAGAGGCAGAGACACAGGCAGAGGGAGAAGCAGGCTCCATGCAGGGAGCCCAACATGGGACTCGACCCCAGGACTCCAGGATCATGCCCTGGGCTGAAGGCAGGCGCTAAACTGCTGAGCCACCCAGGGATTCCCCCCAACTAAAATTCTAACAGTAATATACACACTTGGTATTTCATGTCAACTGCTTTAAATCGAGAGTTCTGGATTGAGTAACTCTCTGAAAAGGCTCACTCAATCCAATCTGCGTTTTAGAAATAGTTTTAGGATCTTTTCTGCTCATTAAAAATTGAAGAAGGTCTTCCCTATGAGAGTGAGTCACAGTGATGGAGGCTCCTACCAAGCCCTTTCAATACAGTTGTGTTACAAGGTCACTCCGACCCATGATGAGTGACTCTTCTACTGAGTCTGGAAGGAAGGCATAGGGAGGGAAGTAGTTTAGCAGTGTGGAATCATTTCTAATATGAATATTTTAGGGGGTGGGGCACAGGGAAAGCAGAACTGATGGTAAGGATTTCTGTGAGCTCACAAAGGTGGAGCAGGAAAACTTAGTGCAAAAATCAGAGAAGTATTCTGTGAGGTGGAATCAAGCACAATAAGCAATCATGAAAGACAAGGCCAGGTGAAATGGTTCATGTGAAGTGGGTCAAAAGGCACAAACTTCTAGTTACAGAAAAACCAAGTCGTGGGGATCTAATGGAATAGCAGGGTAACAATGTATTATATATTTGAAAGTTGCTCAGAGTAGATTATAATGAAAAATTCTCATCACACACACAAAATCATCTGTATCTGTGTTGACAGATATTAACTACACTTACTGTAGTGATCATTTCACAACATATACAAATACTGAATCACGTTGTACTCCCAAAACTGATTTAATGTACTATGTCTCGATAAAGAAAAATAAAGATGAGGCAAAATATAAGAGGCAGACATGTACGTCCCTATTCTTGAATAAAATCAATGAAAATGATAAACAGGCTACCAGGGGCTAGGTGATGAATGAAGGCATATAATGAAGAATGCAAACCTTTTCCAGTAGGGAGCCAGGAGGGAGAAAGCATATCAGAAAATAGTAAACTGAATTGTCTGAGTGATAAGTCAATTTTCCTCAAAGATTTCTTATAAAAGGTATACTTTCTTTTTAATATCCAGGAAAACTTAAGCATATTCCTTGCCCCTATTGCCTCATTCATAAAACTGGAGTTTGGCTATTCTCTCTCCATGCTTAAAAAAAAGAAGAAGAAAAAAGAAAATGGTACCTTCAAATCTCTCTTCAAAACTAGAGGCTGAACTACTGGGAGCAGGGGAGGAGATGGCCACTCTGACCAGGCAGAGAGCTGACTTCTGCCCTTTGCTTAAGAGAGATCTAGGTTTAGATTATACCTGCCTACTGCCTGGCATTTTATTAAAAATAAAATAAGATCAATAAATGCTCTTTTTGGACCAGTCAAGTTCTAGAAGTGGATAAAAGAACAATTTAGTGGCTACTGCACTGTATTAAACTGTACATTGTATCTTATGCTTGTGCTTTAAAGCAATTTAAAGGCTACAATCTTATAAACAAATTAGGGTAACAGAAACTTCCTGATGTGAGTAAAAACTTATTAAAATGATAAATGCGTTTGTATGATTGATTGCAGTATGCATAAATGAGCCCTGAAAGGATGCAGAGGACAAAAATCTTTCTTCCATCTGTCTTCTTTCCTTTAAAATCTTCCTAGAAAATAAAAAAAAAAAAACAAAACTAAATTTAATGTTAAGAGATCAGTGTGGTAGGTACCGAATGGTAAGTGCATTTTCCAAGACAATTTCTGTATGGAAAGAATTGGCTTGGATGATGAAAGGAGTCAGGCAACTCACAGGGTCTGTGCTTCTACTGCACATAGCAGCTGTGCATCAGGCTGAATGATGGTGACAGTAAACATGATTTCCAGTAATTTCTTCAGGAACTGTGAATTGTCCTTCACTCATTTGAATTAGATTTCTGCAAC